CAATCCTTACATATGCTCATGACATTTGGGTCTTGACCAAAGGAACATCTAATAAATGAACCAACAACTAATACTACTCTCTAGATCAGTGGTACTCACTCCTGGTCCTGGAGAGCCGGTATCCATCCAGCATGTTTTCCTTGCTTCCGTTCTCCAACACACACAATTCATTAGCTGAATCATCTGCGCTGCAGTTCTTCAGGTGCCTGTTAATCTCCTGCTGATTGAAATTAGAAGCAGGGTTGAAACTAAAACATGTTGGAGACCTGTTCTCCATGACCAGGAGTAAGTACCACTGCATTAGATGGAGTCATCTGCAATATCACTGAGTTAATGCTAGTTAGCTGTTTGTTCTTGGAAAACTGCAGGTGTTTGTTCTCTCTCTCTCTCTCTCTCTCTCTCTCTCTCTCTCTCACTCACTCACTCACTCACTCACTCACACACACACACACACACACACACACACACACACACACACACACACACACACACACACACACACACACACACACACACACACACACACACACACACACACCTTCTCAGGAACATCTAGAGATGTGTGTGACTAAGGCCTAGTCCACACGTAGCCGGGGTTTTTTGAAAACGAATATCCGCCCCTCCAAAAACTTGCATCCACATCACCGCGTTTTAAAAACAAACTCTGTCCACACGTACTCGGATAAATACGTTGTTAAGGACATGCCAGACCTGTAGGCGGCAGAACTTCCCCCATTCTTAACCTCGTCCTTCGTCTGTGGTCTTCCGCAAGGAGCAGTAATTCCGCTTGCAAAAACAAACAAGCAAAAAGCGCTTGGACAATTGATGGATCGGGTAGTGACAGAGCGCAGGTCTGAGGGCTTCCATGCTGTCGGCTAGTGTAAACACAGGTTGCACACGTGATGTCAGCATTTTTTGTCACGGAAAGTGACGTTGCGGACCTTAAAACTCTGGTTTTGTCTGTCCACACGCAGACACCCAAAACAGAGAAAACGCAGATCTTCACTTTGGCCGGAGTTTTTAAAAAGATCCGTTTTCGTGTGAAAAAACTCCGTTTTCGTGTGGATGACAGGCCAAAATGTAGAAAAATATTTACGTTTTGGCAGATCCCCGGCTACGTGTGGACAGGGCCTAAGAAGCAAGTCAGAAAAGGGCTTTAGTTTCTGGTGACTCAGCCCTTCTCCTCTCATCTCTCTCTATCTTTATTCCTGGACTTATTGATGTGCAAGAAATGCAGCAGTCAAGCACCTGCCTCTGCCACACATGCACTCGCTGTCGTGCTTTGTCGGGCACAGATCCGTATGTGTGTGTGTTTGACTGTCAGCAGTGTTCATCTACCATGGAACCACCAAACCACACTCTTGCCTAGTCTCACACACACAACTCAATATACACAATATCTACCTGCTTCAGGAGGATAGTTGAAGAATTCAGTTAAAGCTTCAGTCTCAACACACACGTGCACACACACAACCTTTTCCCTGTTTTACACACACTCTCTCAGATGCAAATTACTTAAAACACTCGGGAGCAATTGGGGTCATTAACCCTTGATCTTTGCACTACAGTTAATGATTTGCTATCGTCACTAAGTGTGCATAAGTGTGTGTGTGTGTGTGTGTGTGTGTGTGTGTGTGTGTGTGTGTGTGTGTGTGTGTGTGTGTGTGTGTGTGTGTGTGTGTGTGTGTGTGTCTGTGTGTGTCTGTGTGTGTCTGTGTCTGTGTCTGTGTGTCTCTGTGTGTGTGTGCCAGCGGTATTAAAGTATGCATTAAATCAATGCAAGTTTTCATTCCAAGGACATGCAAACAAGGTCTCAATGGACTTTCTGCTGATCAGAAGTTGGATTTCATGACATGCTTAGCACGAGTCCAGGAAATGAATCTTGATATCTAGAGTTTTTTCGTTTTTTTTTTTATACTAAGCAGGTTTGTTTAGTATTTAGATGTTGAGAGGTGGTGTGGATCAGTCTCTGATAACTGGATTGATAGTGCCCCAGAAAACCATGGCACCACTTCAAACACATGCACTGAGAGTAATTCTACATTTGAAATAGCTTCAGCCACCAGATCCCAATAATCCTCCAAAATCCCAAGTAGCTAATCCAATTAGAGTCAACACGTAGTGATCCTGAGCATTAAACCCAGTACAGGTTAACAACATGACTTGTCCTTAGTTGTGGGTGATTGTGTGACTCGTTGTGTGCCTCTGTGTGTCCCTGGGATGGACTGTAGACCTGTCAAGGGTGTCTCCCGCCTCTGACCTGGTGACTACTGTAGAAAGGCACGAGCTCGAGGCAGCCGGTTAAAATGAGCGAGTGAGTGAGATGTTTGGTTGTGTGAGTCACTCAACTCTCCCATTTACTTTAACCATTCAGCACAATCTAATTTCTTTCTGTGTTTATGGGATGCCATGGGCTAAAGTGCTAGCTGCTAAAGCAATCTGAGGTGAGATGTCCAAATATCAGAAAATAAGACTTGGTTTTAGGTGCCGATACTGATTTCCTATTCTGCCAATATCCGTTTTGGATCAATCTGATATCCTTCAAAATCCAGGAATTCACATAATGCTTGTTAAACTAGCTGAATAATTTGGGAATTATTATTCTGGAAGAAAACAATTCCACATGGTTATTGTTTAGCGTGGATTAGCATTCATGCTCTAGGCTGGTCATTAATTTAGCTAAATGCTAAATCTTGAAGCATAAATTATCTGGGTATTTAAAGTCTAAAAGTGTGTGAAATTAGTGTGTTTTGCTTGTATTAACATGAACACAGTAGCTTTGAGGTTTGGGGTGATGGTGTAACAACACGTCCAGTTTTCCCGCTTGACTGAACTTGCTAAATGGACATTTTGTTGTTTAACAGCTGACTCTATCTCACATTTAATAACTCTGGTTTCCCAGACAACAAGTCACAATGACTCAGAATCGTTGACCTACTGGTTTACTAACTGCTGTGACCATTTGTACCAGTCATTACACATAATTACCTTTAATTATTGTTGTTCTCAGCGTGTGCCGGTCCTTAAAAGAGCAAAGTAACAATGAGTCAGCAGCAATACCAGAAGTAGCTGCTCGTCTCTCAACTGGTTGGAGCTGAGTGTAAACCCACACATGCACACAGTACTGAGCACACACACCTGCAGGAACTGAACGGCTGAAACAGGAAGCGAGAGGGTGTGAACCACTACACGGTGTCTGCTGACCGATGAGCGTCAGGTCTGCTGTTGATGCGGAGATAAGGCTGGAGTCAGACTTTCTAGTAACGGAAACACTCATTTATGACATGAAAACAGAAGCAGTGAACTGTGAGTGAAGGTCCGTTTGAAGGTGGAGGATAAAAGGATTGAGTGTTTAATCTAAAGGAAGGTTTTAGTGAGCTCTGGGTTGGTGCTGTACAACCCAGATTAACCCAGCAGACACACGCAGAGACACCTAAGCCTAAAATGACTGGCGACCTTTTACTTTGAGAATTCATTCTAGTGTTGCAATCAAGCCTCCAGCCAGCATTTGATTAAGATCAAATAGTGACTCTTGTTGGCTAATTGAAGGACTTTAACAGCATATTTTAGGAATCAGTGCAAAAATTTTTTATTTTTTGCAGGAAACTGAGCAAGGCATTGTTTTAAAGAGACTGATGAGTGGAGAAGTTCACAGTTACCACCTGGGTTTGTTTAAACATACTTCCTGTAGGTTAGGGTTAGGGTTAGAAAAATAGAGCTGACATACCTGGTGCTGAATGACCTGCATTTGTATAGCACCTTCTTAGGGCTCTACAACTCCCCAAGGCACTTCGCAACACAGTCAGTCATTCACACAATTCACACACACACATTCACACACTGGTGGTGATGAGCTGCCCTGGGGCGCACAGACTGAGGCAAGCCCTTCCGAACACTAGCCCCACTGATCCGGTAAGGGTCTTGGCCAAGGACGCTACAACAGGATTCTCTGGTCAGAGCCAGGGTCAAACCAGCAACCTTTCGATTACTGGACAACCCGCTCCATCTCCTGAGCTACTGCAGTCCCTAGATTATGAACACAGCTGAGTTGTGTGATTTAGTGATGAACCACTCCTGTGAAACTAAAGAAGGCTGAGGAGACATTTCAGCATTTAGATGAAGGTGTTAAAAAGAAGGCCGCACAGTGAGGAGACTAGTTTCACGTTTGGTTTTATGGCAGTGAATTAATACTGAACTCTAAGGGTTGCTACAAGTAGGCCAAAACTACAGTTTTCCTGTTGGGTAATTTCTATATTACTTCCAAATTACCTCAAAAAAGTCAGAGCATACACGGAGGGATTAGATCTTTGGAAATTGTAACCATCAAACAACAATCAATAAACGAACTTTGCAAAGGGTGAGAGAAATCAAATACACACCAGAGGCCAGGTCAGTGTGCTCTCACAATTAGGCAAAGCCTTAGAGCTCCTTTTATTTAGGAAGACACACCCAGAAGTTTACACAATTCTTCAGAATCAGCTGACCGGGGTAACCTAATCAACAATTTATTGGACCTTCCTCTTGTCTCAGGAAGTTACAGATGAGATAAAAGAGGTCTTTCTTCACCACTCTAAAATGTGATCAAAGTGATGACCCTCCGTCTAAACAAACACCTACACTGTTACATCAATAACCCTGTGATGTCAAAATCAGTTATATCCATCATTTCCTTTAATAAAACTCATAAGTTTTAGCAGTTACATTTCAACCTTTAGTTTAGTTGTGGAGCTGTTTCACTCACTAACTAACCATGTAGATTTATGAATAAGACAAAACATTTCAGGTTCTGCTTCCCTGGGAGAAAAATGGAAATGTACTTTTCAGAGAGTTTATTTATTTTAAAACACATTTTAAAAAAATAAGATCTGAACTGAATCATGAATTTAAGTGAGTGTATATGTTGTTGCAATAACTCTAAGTAAATTATCCTTTGAACTCAGATTATTTTTCCCTGTTTTTTTGTCCCTCTTCCTCATTCTCCGTTTCTTCCCACCTGTCAGATGATGAAGCACGCATGGGACGGTTACCGGCGCTACGCCTGGGGTTCCAATGAGCTCAGGCCTGTCTCCAAACAAGGCCACTCCAGCAATCTATTTGGTGAGCGAGAGTACACACACACACACACACACACACACACACACACACACACACACACACACACACACACACACACACACACACACACACACACACACACACAGACTGGATTGATCTTGTTTCCTTGCCACCAGCAGCCTTGGCCTTTAGATTAGCAGCCAAATTGGCCGTCACTTAGAGTCATCCATCCACGCAGGACTCTAAATGTCAACTTTTTCATATTTATATTTGTGCGTTTTCCCAGTTGTCAGCAGCTGTGTTGTTAATGAGTGCTGCAGTGTTTGCCATTGTCTGCCTTTAAGTTTGGAAACAACACCTGAGCTGCAGTCAGAGGATCTAAAGTACAACCATGTCTCCACTCAAACTTGGAGAATAATCTCACAGACGTGATTATAAATAGTGATCACCTCCTCAGGGACTCGTGCTTGTCTGATAGGGCTGCAACAACGAATCGATAAATTCGATGAAAATCGATTACTAAAAGCGTTGGCAACGAATTGCGTCATCGATTCGTTGTGTTGCGCAACTCTTCCAAAAGCCCCCTCCCCTCCTGCCCGCCGTTGCGCGCAGACCGGTGGAGAGCCGGCAGGTGTTTGTAAGAGGAACATGGCAGAAGCAGCGAGACCCCAAAAAAGTAAAAACTTCTAAAGTTTGGGAGCATTTTCAGTTAAATCAGGCGAAGACATGCAACGTTTGTAGGTCAGACTTAGCATGGCACGGGGATACTACGGTGATGATGCAGCGTCTTAAACGCAAGCATGTCAGAATCATCAGCGAGGAAGGAGAGAGCTCGGTGTCCGGGTAAGTAAAAAACTTTTCAAAAGTGATTCACCCAAGCCCCGGATTATTACACAGGCTAGACATGCCCTAAGCTCGTAAAAAAAAGTCTATAAAACTGTAAGCGCGACGCTATTAGATAGGCGGGGGGGGGGGGGGGGGGGGGGGACTCGCGCCGCTGCGAACCGGTTCCGCCGTCACATTCCCGCAGAAACTGGTTGATCACACCGGGGCCAGACTACTAACATGTGGCTTTACAACCACAGTGTCCTCAGAAGCGAAAACGCTTTTAAAAGGGAGGGAGGAGTCCTAACTGTTGCTGCAGGCGTGTTGTGTGCGTGTAGTTATATACTGGTTAACCCTTTGGTGCATGATGGTCACTACAGTGGACAGGTACTCAAAATTGTTATTTATTTGTTTTTGCTATTAAGCACAGCTGTTGAAGACTTTATTGTATTTGAGCCCCTCCATTTGGACTTCAGTAAGTCAAGCCAACATATTTCATGTTCAGAATGCACGTGGTCCACTAAGGTGGACCTGTAATAAATTATTTGTAAATTATAAAATTTTACAAAAAATATTTGTTGAAATTTGTTTCATTCACACCTAAAGATGAATGAAAAAAATTGTTAAAAAATCATGGCTGAAGATTTCATAATTCATGCATCAAAGGGTTAATATATTTTTGGGTTCAGTTGCTTTCATGTGTCCTAATGTGAGTCTATTTGGGATCATTGGAATGATCAGCAGCATCTCTTGATGTGACTTTATGGCAGTTGCCCAGGGCATCATCACAAGGAGAATGGCATTCATTTACTTTTGTTTTAGTTGGTATTTTTCAGTCATTTTTGGAAATAGTGATTAATTCACAGCCTATGTTTAATTTCATTTAAAAATTAGTTGTTTGACATCCCCAATTATAATAAATGTCTACAGATGAGATCAAACAAAACAGATGAGAATTGCCCTTAAAGAGCAAGTCACCCCCAAATAAACTTTTTTTTGCTGATAAACTAAATAAACGAGTGTCTAATCGTGCTGCAGACACGTGTCGTCAATAATTTGGCACTTCAGTGCATCTTAGTTAAAATTTAAATATTCTGCCTAAAACTGGCAGTGTTGTGCCGTTGTCAGGTAAAAACTCTGCACTGTATTTTAATTTAAATCTGCCACCGCTATTGGCTAAGAAGTATGCTATGATGTAAACTGGTACATTATGATGTCACAATGCTGTCGTGAGCCTGAGTGTGTGTGTATTTGTTAGCGGCTCAGCCCTCTCGGTCTGCCAGGCAACAGCATGTGTTGCATTTTTCAATCATGAAGCAGGAGTGGAGTTAGACTCTGGTAGGGGTTGACTTGCTCTTTAAGCTGTTTAACTTGGACCAAGCATTTTAGGTCACAGATAGATGTAGCTTAAGGTCTCTGTCTATACACCTTATAAGACAATTTAGGTGATGGCATGTTGGTTTTCTGCTATTGAACTGTTTTCTAATAATGTTGTGTTTAATAAAGTGAAGGAAGGAGAAAAATAACGTTTCCCTAGCAGTTTTAAAAAATGTCCCTATGTAATCCGATTAATCGATTAATCGTGTCGAGACCCCATCCGATTAATCGATTATCCAAATAATCGTTTGTTGCAGCCCTATTGTCTGGCATACGTCTCAGTTTAGTGCAGCGCCTTTGATAAAATACCATTCATGTGTGAAGAAACTGATAAGGAGACACTATAAAACACCCACACGCTTTCTCCACGTTGTTGTTTTTATGTCGCCTTCCATTACCAAGGTGCAGCATTGTCGTTGGAAACTAGACCTTTACTGTTTGTGTTTTCCTCCTTTCTGTAAAACTATATGTTACAAAGGTAATTTAATGGGAAAAAAACACCTGTAATTAGAGGAGTGAATGTGAAATGGATCTGAGCTGAACAGAAGTATGTGATATCAATTCAATTCAATTCAAAGATACTTTATTAATCCCAGAGGGAAATTGGAGTTTCAGTGCACACAATTCTGAGATCAGACCTGCATACATAGGCATAGACACATGACAAGAATTGGTGACTGTGGTCATTCGCAACCCGAGTCGCGCTACCTTAATAGAGATCAGAGGGGTTACATGAGGATTGAGTCAGGTGGAGGGGAAAAAAGGCACTTCAGAGTTACCCTCCACAGGGAGGGCAGCTTTGCTATGCAAAAAACACCTCAGACCGAAATGCAACAGACTTCAGACATTACACAACATAAGTGTCCACTAGGTGGGGAGGTAGGGTTGGGGACTCTCCTCACATCAGTGCATGCAGCCACGATAAGCAGCGCTCGTCACCTCCGTTTGGACAGGGTAGGGAAATATTTGGGTTAGAGAGCACAGAGACTCCTGGAAATGATTCAACGACCTTCACCAGTCGCAGTCCCGCCCAGGCTGGGATAGGGAGACAGTTACCATGGCGACGGCAGCATTCCACATTTCTTCTGAGAGGGAGTATTCACTTCAGCCTCACAGGCTCAAGGGCAACAGATTCAGATAAGAACTTGTTTTGGGGGCCAGACAGATAATTTCCTCTCTGTCTTAAAGTTCTGTTGGTCTCCAACCCCTCTAGATCCAATATTGGCGTAATTAATCTATTCCCAACCATGCTGTCCCGTCACCTCGCTCCTTGATGGAATCAACCTTCTGTGCCAGAGCCTGAATGTCAGCCAAAGTTCCAATCTTATGACTCATCTCGACAATTATATGAGTTTGTGCGTTTACAGCGCGGTGTAATCCATCCCTGAGCTTCGGGATTGAGCCAATATTCCTCGAAAGCTTGTTAATTTTCCGGTAAGCCAGGTAACCGCTCAGGCCAAACAGCAGGAATCCCGACACCAACACCACGAATATCCAGACGTCCTCAGAATCCTCTACAGACAGTTGAGAGAGGCAGATGATATGCCCATGATATGCCCAACTGGCTCTGTCTCAGAGGAGCATCCGGGAGCCCCTTCTCGCGTTCCCATCGTTGAAAAAATTTAGTCAATCGCGTTGACCAACTGACCAGTCCATTTTTAATAATTTCCAGTTTCCAGAAAAAATGCAGAAGCGCCATACACCCAAAGAGCCTTGGGATGAGATAGGGAGGAGAGGAGGAAAAAAATCATCTGTACTCTCCAAGAGCCGGAAGGAGCCAGTGGATGGATGATGGAAATAATGTGTTTGAAAAGAGAAGTTAATGGTTGTGGCCTCGCAGCCTCTGGAAAAGATATAACCACAACTTATACAGGAACCCTTTGGTAAACTGTTTACATATCATTTCACAGGTAGGTGTTGAGGTGGTGGAATTGATTCGAAACTTTATCTTTCTTGGCCATAAATGAGAAGAAATAAAAACACGTTGACTAATTTAAGTGGTAACTCCCGGTGGACAGCAGCGATTTAAAACAAAGATATTTCTTCCATAACAGGTCTGAAAGCAGCAACTTAAAACATCTTATTGGTTCTTTGAGTTTAAAAAGCTCACTGTTGTTTTCTATCACAGCTAAAAGTATAAATTAGCTTCTGCTTTATTGCTTCTTACATATGTGAATTTTACTATTTCACACTTACTCAGGATCAGAGATAGGTGTTGTTAAGAAAATACAAAATTGGGTGTGATTCTTCAGTTTCTACTGAAATGTTAGCATCCCCAGCTCCCGCAGCACAAACGCACAAATAAAAAAATGAGTGTCAGCGATTTACGCGTCCACAGTGTGTTTATTTTGCTCTTTACTCATACAGAGCTAATTAAGGTGGCACAAACCTGTGAACACAACAAACAGTTTCCTGCTTTTCATGCCAAAAATAAAGTGCTGAGCTGCACTGGTCCATTACAACACAATTCTGATTCAATACTACGTTTATTTTTAGGACGGCTAATTTAAGCAAATGCTTTGTGATCTAGAACTATTCGCTCTTTTGAGTTTTTGCTTCAGGATGAAAACTTGGAGTGATTACATTTTACTTACAAGTCCTGCAGCTGAAAGCACCCTCCGACAGAGCAGAACTGCAGGACACACATTTCCGCTAATTCTGCTAGTCAGGGATGTTTGTGTTCCCCTGTTTTTACTTGTGCAGTAGATCGGAGTCTGGAGGTGTGCGTGAATTGTAGCAGGAAAGGTTGTAGCTCACTAATAACATTTCCACGTTGTAAACCTTTCAAAATAAGACTTAAGACTGGAGAAAGTGTTGTGCTAAATTATATTTGGCACATT